CATCGTTTTAGATTTGCCATGGCTTGAGATTTGGGAAGGCATCATCCATCATCCACATGTGGCTCTGCCAGGTCTGTACATCTCCCATTCGCCGTGTGACCGATGATCCAGACCCTGTCCCGGTCTGGCCCCACTCGTTGCAGGCATGCGACTGGACCAGCGTCTGCGAGGAGACATAGGAATGATCCTGCGAGGAGAACTGCGGGTCTCCTGTGAAACCTTACGGCGCCGCTCAAATTTACATTTTGAAACAAAGGTATGAATAACGGTGAGAAGTGATTCGAAGTGACTGCCTTCTAGTTGCAAAAAGAAGTGTTTCCTGCCTATCTTCTGTCCTACTCCTGCATACTGTATTTATGGCAAGGTGTGCAATGTATGCCTTGTCAGAATTTGTCAGAAGACGTCTCCGTGGAGGAGACTTGACTTAACGGAGGGCCTCTCTCTGAGGGTCGATGGAATCGAAGCCTGTCATCCTTCTCATCCGAACTCTGTGGGTTGAAGGTCAGTCACATCACCAAACCCCAACTGACTCCTTTTCAAATGCACCATTTCCCTATTTACTGCTGCTGTAATTAAGCTCGATGTTGCTTGTGCCCTCAAAAAGGGGATTGCCCTTCTGCGCTTGCATGTCCTCCTTCCCAACCTCCACACCCAGCTCCGGTCCCCACCCGCACCGTTTCAGAACCTCTCCGCGTCCGTCGGTCGCATCGTGCCTTGAGAAACCTCTCCGCCTGGTCCTCCTTGGAGATACTGATGGCCTCGTCCAGCGCCGAGAGCACCTGGGGGTCGTGCCAAGAAAGGCCCGACCCGGACCGGGAACGTCCGGTGGATGAACAAAAGTGAATGGGTCGTGCCAAAAACATATGGTAACATGTGGTGTTCCATTGCTTAAAAGCAAGGGGTAAACAGGGTCGAAGTGGGCGACAGGTGAGGTGTGGCAGGGTCTTGTGCTGACATGGCAAGCATTGGCCAAATCTTTTGCTGCAAGTGCTTGAATTCCCTAGGTGGATTCCTTTTTTGGAGGAAGGCAGAGTGCAAACACAGCAAAAACTCGTGGCGCTTCAGAACTTCAAGATCTCAACTCCACCTAACTTGTCCGTTCGCTTTCTGCACCAAGCCACACCCGAGGTGTTCCACGGGTTGATTTTGAAGGCGCCTCAGTCAGCCCCGGTCACCCACTGGTCACCGGTGGTTACTAGCAACGGTCACCAGCAACCGGTCACCGATGATCAGTCCGGCTGCACCTGGGTTGGTCACGACGGCCCATGACTAGGCATCCCTGCATCGGTTTTGTGGGTCTCAGTTCATGTAACTCACAAGTCTAATAAGAAAACACCCCAAACATCACCAAACCGTACCGTCGCGGCAGGTCCCAAACGGTCATTCGCTATCTCTTTGGTACGTCGCCCAACAAAAACCGTCCAATGCCCTTCACTTGTTGGCCATTCTGAGTCATTCGAATGGCTTTCCTCAGTTCCATATACCATCTGAATGCACACGGCGTGGGGTTCAGTCCCACGTATCGCACGGGTACGCCCAATTCGCGGATACGCGGGGTGGAAACCCAGGCCTGTGAGAACGGAGGAGCAACCACAGAACTCACTGATCAATGCCACGCCCTTGTGGTCCTGCACACCAGGGCGAATTGCGATCGATGGCGGGCGTTTGCTTGTGCTTGCTCGCTGTTGTTTGCTGTTTATTGTTTGTTATTGTTGTTGCTGCTGCTATTGCTGTTGACATGCTGCAGTGGGTGGTCTTTGTCTATTACCTTCATTCTGTTGATGTATGCGTGTGATTTGTACAGTTTCTTTATATAAATATTTTAGTGAGTCAAGTCGAGTCATTGTCATTGTAGATAGCTGCAGCTCATTGATGCTTCTTACTGAAAAAACATGGGACCATCCGCCATCCCAGGGATATGGAGCATGCATGGCTCTAGCCGCCCAATGGTGAGATATCAAGTCGGCATTACATGAGAGGCCCAGAACAAGATAGAACAAGCACAGCGACCACGCATGACAACACGACAATCTCTTTGAAGCTTCCACACATGGACCACCACTCTCGTCTTTGATACAGCGCAGAAAAAAAGAACAGCTGCCACCCATAGAAGCCAACTCTGCACTTTCACCAGCTCACAAAATCCTCAGAAGATCCAGTTTTGCTCAGAGCAGACTTCTGCAGGTCGGATGTCGTGGATGTACAGCAACACATGGGGCCACCGGGGGGTCTTCGGCTTGCTGAAATGGACGAGATGTTCATGGAATCGCTTAAGCATAAGCGTTGACGAGGCAAAGCTTTTGGCCACTTATTCCTAAAAAGTGCTAAAGATTGGCTTCAACTTCTTGAGATTTCTTAAGATGCCCCAAAATTCCCACTTCCAATGATCTTTGATCATATTGATCTATATTGTCTCTGAATTCCCTGAAGTTGCCAGAACTCTAACCCAGCTCAGGGGAAGTCGCATTCTCCCCATCTCATCCACCTCTTCGCCCCCCCACCCCCCCCCCCACCCCCCCCCCCCCCCCCCCCCCAACCCTCCGCCCCATCGCCCAGGTCGTCTCGTCTGGTCGTCCTGGGAATGCGCCGCGTAGAAGTTGAAGGGAATCAGGTTGAGGCCATCATTCGTGGAGGTGTCCAGCAGAACATCGGTGGCCTCGCGAAGAAGCGAGGCCCAACACGCTGCTACCCACCCATCGCTTCCGTGACGTCGTGCGACGTCACTGACGACTGGGCCGTTTTCTCAGGAGCCCTGAGCCGCAGATCCCACTTGAAACATGGGGCTTCCCATCATCGAACTGTCCAACCTGTTCATCCCATAAGCGGGGAAATCCCCATACTTTTACAAAAAAGGTGACTGGTGATCCACTCTTCCTGGGTATGTGTTCTTTCCGATCTGGTCGCTCGGAGGAATGGAGAGCGGAGGCTCGGACGTGTGCCACCTTCGCCGAAGAACTAACTAGCTCCCGAAAGCGACTCGGAATGCCACGTCTTGGGTCTAGATCTGACATGTCACATACTGAATCAAACAAGCACTGAAATTCCTCCCAAGCCTACCAGGACCGGCCGAAACAACAAGTAGCGCAAGGTAGGCGGCGGCCCGCTGGTGATCTCTTGGATTGGTCCTGATGGTGTCGTCGTTTCTGCACCTCACCCGAAACACAACGAACGTCCAAGCCACAAGCAGAACTCCAAGCTGTTTCTCCCTGCTCGTCTCCTGGTCAAGTCTGGGAGTGAGAAAATTTATGAAGATTTAGCGATCAACGAAGAGAAGAGAGAAAGGCTTATATATATACATCTATTTCACTGGCTACATAACATGGAAACAGGAGGTTGTAAACATAAATCAGGTGCAACAACAAAAACTGTATTCGTTGATAATGACATTCAAGAGGTAAGAACAGGCAACAGGAAAGAACAACTCAGGAAATAATAACAATGTAACAACGCACAAAACAAACAAATACCATAATATGTTTCACACAAAACCTTGAGGGTCATCCTGATCAAACCCTGTGAAATCCTGTGAATCTTAATCTACTCGCGACATATCTTATCTACTCTAAACATGCTCTTAATCTATTCTTAATCTACTCGTAAACAAAACAAAAGCATTCAAAACCATTCATAATAAATACACACTCATAACATGTCTGCTTGTGTGGGTAGCAGGCTTTGTTAGCAGCATCAGTACATGACGGGGTCTCAGCCCTATGGTCTCAAGTTGCTCCTCTGTATGTTTTTCTATGTATATATAAATATAATATGTATATTATCTAATTGTTGAATGAACTAAAACACAATCAAATAATATGATATGAACAGTAACAATCCTTCTTATCATGTTGGCATTGAGCAAGTAGTATATGTAATAGGAAGGAGACTAATAACCAACGTGAACCAATAATTAAATGTCAAACATGATAACAACAGAAATCATGAACAAACATGAACAAACTATATGCTATACAGTAGACACATGTAGAACCCCCTTGGACATTATAAGGGAACCTTCTTATGGGACAACATGTCCAATAGATGACATCCCGCAAATGGCAGCACCCTGCACTGAAGAGGCTCCACACCACTAACAATCAAGGGAACATCCATAGGGTGAAGGATCAAAAAAATAAATAAGGATCAAAATAATAATAAAGCAATGAGATCAAAAGAAAATTAATAAGGATCAACAAAAAAACAAAATCTGGTGACGTAATAACAAAAACAATTGACAGACGAGGATCAAAAACAAAACAAACAAGAATCAACAAAGAAAGAACAGTAATGTGTGCAGTGGCAACAGTAGTAGTGACCGTCGTCGTCGTTGTCGTCGTCGTCGTAGTAGTAGTGGTAGTAGTAGCAGTAGTAGTAGTAGTAGCAGTAAGTAGTAGGTACTAGGTAGTAGGTAGTAGGTAACAGGTAGGAGGTAGTAGGTAGTAGGTAGTAGCAGTAGTAGTAGCAGCAGCGGCAGCAGTAGTAGTAGTAGTTGTTGTTGTTGTCGTGGTAGTCGTAGCCGTGTTGTGGGAGCAGTAGTAGCATCGGGT